CTGACCTTGTGGTTTGCAGCCTGATTTGTAACCACTACGCTACCAGAGCTCCTTGATTTCATCTATATAATGTGTAAAATAAATCCACAGAAACAGAAAGTAGATTAGTGGTTGCCAGGGGCTTGGAAGAAGGACAAGTAACTGCTAAAGGGTATGTGGTTTTTTTGAGAAACAAGGCAGGAAGGGGCAAGAAAGAAGAGTGACTGGAAACGAAACCTAGGGAAGTAGGAGGAAGAGTGCTGTTACATAGAGGGAATTACAACCAGTCATAAATTGTGTGTAAATTTGAATTAAATAAAGGGTATGAGGCTTGTGGGGTGATAAAAATGTTCTGGAATTAAGATAGTGATGATGAATTGTATACTGTAACAGAGTGAATGCTGTGGTGTGTAAACTATACCTCAATTTAAAAAACAAAAGATTATTAAAAAACTGGTGTGAAAAATTATATATGTGAAAGAAGTCAGCATTTTATTCTCATATGAAGTTTCTAGACTCCTGAGTCCTTGTGTGGCACTGTGGGTTAATGCGCCAGACTGCAAAGCCATTTGAACTGCAAGGTCGGAAGTTCAAGCTCACCAGTTGCTCCTTGGAACCCCTATACAGGATCACTATGGGTCGGAACTGACTCGATGGCACTTAACAACAACAACAGACTCCTGAGATGCCTACAAATATACTCAGTGGACATTTCTCAAGTTCTACCAAAATAATATTACCAAGAGAATTTTTTCATAAAAAGTGAGCCATAGGAGTCTGGCTATTACTTCAGACCCAATTAGATCAACTCTGGATTCTGAAGCTTTATTTTTGTTGTTGTTAAGTGCCGTGGAGTTGATTCTGACTCATAGCGAACCTGTATAGGGTTTCAGAGACTGCTAATCTTTGTGGGAGCAAAAAGTCTCATCTTTCTCCTGCATAGCCACTGGTGGGATTGAACTGCCGATCTTGTGGTCTGCAGTCTAGTAATTTGTTTAATTCCATGGTAAAAGGATGGCAGGAAAACCAAAGAGAACTTCAGCTTATACCAGCTAACTACTCAGTCTTTGGGGGGGGGGGGGGGGAAGTCTTGTCTTGCTTTCCCTTCAGGAAAACACTCATTATGCCATTATGCTAAAACAGACCTGGGAGGTGGCCAACTGATCCTTGGAGAAGAGTCACTCACCAAAGAAAAGAAATGAGGGAAAAGCTCATAAATGACACTTGAAACTTGTCTCCATAATCCTCATCTTCAGAACTAATAAAACAAACAAAAACCTCAGCTATTCCCAGGGCCATGGAATCCACAAGTTCAGTTCCTCTTTAGTTGTATGACTTGCTTCAGAAACCCATTTACTCCAAAGCAGAAACATCCCCACCCCAAACAGCCAGTGTTTAAGAGGTTGTGGTGACTTCCATGTAAGAAAAATGCATGACACAAACCAAACTCAAGTCCACCTGTGGCCCAACTTTGCCTGTTACAGACATAAACCTGAATGCACACTTTCTCACGATTGCACCAAACGTGAACTTTCCCATGGGCATGTACCCTTTAAATTGGCCTCTGTGATCACTGTCCATATTGTTACACACAGCTCCTGGAAACCAGTGACTGCTTTCAATGTGAAAGCACAATACTCCCAGGTGACACAACAAATACTATATCACGCTCCACTGTGCTTAGAGTAAAACCCATGGCCTCTGTGGACCGAGAACAAGCTGACATCCACAATGCATGGTCCTGGAAGGGAAAGCAGACAATTTCAAGATGGACTGCAAGCTGCAACAACAGTCTATCATAATCACTGGCCTGTTTCTAGACACTAAACTGCTCTTGCCTCCCTCCAATTTCACCTCCATCCCACCCCTCACCATGCTTCAGCTATAGCCTTCTGTGTGCTCCTCAAACCAAACTCTGTCCACTTTCAGCCGTCATACTTCCTTGGCCTGGAGTGTCCCATTCTGGAGTTTTGGATGCTGGTTCCTTGTTGTCAGTCAGGTCTCAACTCATGTCATCTTTTCTGAGAAGACATCTCTCATCATCCAGTCCAGAGTAGTTGTGTCATTCCATCCCCCCAATCACTATATAACCTCACCTTGCTGTCTTCCTAGCACTTATTACCCTGACATTATCTTATTCATGTCTCTACTTATTTGTTCACTGCCTGTCTCGTCGTCAGACCAGAAAAGCTAATCAAGGGCACGGACCTTGATCCTCCAATTCTGTGCTAGCTCTTGGCACAGAGCAGGGACTCAAATATTTGCTGATTAAATAAATGTGTCCAGAAATACATATTGCTAACTTGTCACCTCTTAAGGGTCTCTGAACCAGTCAGGAATTTTCCAATAAAATAATTCTTAACAAAACAAAAACCACCAACCCACTGCTGCTAAGTTGACTCTGGGCTCATAGTGACACTACAGGACAGAGCAGAACTGTCCTCATAGGGTTTCCAATGCTGTATATCTTTATGGAAGCAGAATGCCACATCGTTCTTCCAAGAAGTGGCTGAAGGGTTTGAACCACTGACCTTTTAGTTAGCAACCAAGTGCTTAACCACTGTACCACCACAGCTCCCTAAAATACCACAAATACCATTTTACTGAACTTTCCCCCTAATGCAAGAGAGGATGTGACTTCCTGCTAAATTCTTGCATCATACTTATTCTGAATGTTATTGTCCAGTGCCATCGAGTGGGTTGCAACTCATAGCAACCCTGCATAGGGTTTCTGAGGAGCAGCTGGTGAATTTGAACTGCTGACCTTGTGGTCTAGTGCTTGCCCTATAGTGCCACACCAGGACTCTATTCTGAATGGTGGTGGTGGTGGTGATGTGCCATGGAGTTGGTACTGACTCATAGCAACCCTGTATAGGGCTTCCGAGGCTGTAAATCTTTACGGGAGCAGAAAGCCTCATCTTTCTCCTGCAGCATAGCTGGTAGTTTCGAACTGCTGACCTTGCAGTCGTAACCACTATGCTACCAGAGCTCCTTCTATTCTGAATAGATACAGTAAAAATAAAAAGAGGGATTTCCACATACCACTTCTGGAATTTGTCCCACACGTGGTTCAGACTGAAGTTTGAGAAAATGTTGTTGTTAGGTGCCATCGAGTTGGTGCCGACTCATAGCGACCTTATGCACAGGAGAACAAAATACTGCCCGATCCTGGGCCAACCTCACTACTGTTGCCACACTTGAGTACATCGATGCTGCAACTTGGCCATTCGACCTCGCTGGGGGTCTTCCTCTTTTTCTCTGACCCTCCACCTTACCAAACATGATATCATTCTCCAGTGACTGGTACCTCTTGACAATATGTTCAAAGTATGAGAGATGAAGTTTGACCATCGTGGCCTCCAAGGAGTATTCTGGCTGCACTTCTTCCAACAGATGTTGGTTCTATGGGCAGTCCATGGCACTTTCAATATTCTCCTCCAACACCATAACTCAAAGGCATCAATTCTTCTATAATCTTCCTTATTCACTGTCCAGCTTTCACATGCAATGAGGTTATTGAAAATACCATGGCTTGGGTCAGGTGCACCTTAGTCCTCCAGCTGACATCTTTGCTCTTCAACACTTTAAAAAGGTCTTGTGCAGCAGATTTGCCTAATGCAATAATACATCATTTGATTTCTTGACTGCTGCTTCCGTGAGTGTTGACAGCTGATCCAAGAAGAATGAAGTCCTTGACAACTTGAGACCATAGCAACCATTAAAACTGAAACCTTTTACCTGGCCTCTGAGTTACTAAGGAACCCTTCATTAACAGAAGGAAGGAAACCCTTAATCAGTCAATAATCTATCCCTGGCTGGGGAAAACCAACACCAACAAGTGCAAGCAAGAATCTCCCTCTGCTAAAGTCAAATGTCAATTCCTTTTCTCTAAGTCTTCATTTGCATTCACTTGCAGGATAAAATTATTCACTGAGGAAGCACCATACAACAAGACTAAGGAAATCACTCTGGATGGACTGTGTTTCAATTCTGGTTTTGGTTTCTCCAGTACTTCAGAGATTCTGTATCAGGAACCAACACATTATTTACCTTCCAAGCATAGCTCTTTTCCCTCCACTTTGATCCACACAAGCTGAGAATAAACCTGCACCCCTAGAGGGCTGTGTGGCCCTGTAGAAGTGTGGAAAGGGGAGGCAGTCAGGTGGGGCTACATAGTGTTTTCCAAAACATTAGTTCACAGACCAATTAAATTCACTGGCTTGCTTATAAAAACGCAAATTAAATTTCTGGGCATCATCTAACCCTACTTTTAACAGTCAGATTCAAGAAACTGCATTTTTAGTAAGTCTCCCCCAATACAACCCGAGATACTATGCAAAGTAAAGTTTAAGAATCAATGGGATAAACAAGTCCTCAAGAAAAGGGCAGAGAGTTGGTTGAGAGAAGGCAAGAGCAGGAACGGGGCATGGAGTTAGGTCTGGGGCTAAAGGTGCGGAGACTGAAGGCATGCTCTAGGGCAAAGGAAGTCAAGAGAGGTGCGTGGGGTTGGCAGATGAGAACAGGGCTCTCCGAAAAGGGTTTGAAGCATGACCTGGGCTGGGAAGCTGGTCAGACGTTAGGTCACATTCGCGGACTGGTCATGATGGTAGGAAGGCGGGGATGCAGGGTGAACAGGGTCTAGACGCGAGGAGGAGGAGCGGAGGTGGCGAAAATGGGGGACTCTCGGATGGGTCAGGGCTGGATGGTGGACTAGAAATTTGGGGTCACAGGAGGCGGGGACGAAAACAGGAATGGGACCCAGCTAAGACGGTGGCCGAGGTCTTCTCTCCAACCCCGGCACCTCCCCTAAACCTCGGGGCCTTGACAAGCCTGAGTGTGGCGTGCGGGACCAACACTGGGAAGGGGAGTTTGCCGGGAGACAAGCCCAATGAGGGGCGGCCCTTAGACATGATATAGGGGTCCCGGAGGCGGTTCGGGACCAGACATGGGGAGCCGGAAGGTCCTGGGATCCCCCGAAAGGCCTTGCTCCAGCTCCGGCTCCCAGAGTCTCCTTCACTCACCATCGCCGCCGCCATCTTGGATCCACGTGTCGCCGTAATTACATCAGCGGAAATGGCGCTTCCCTGGTTACGGAATTTATGCGAGGTGGTTCCCAGACTTTAGTCGCTCGTGGAGTTATGGCAACCGGAAAGATAAAGGAGACTTAGCTCCCTCGGAATCCTGGTGTCTGGGTAGTTCGGTCGCCTATTAAGTGAAGAGAGAAAATTGTGTCACTATGGGCGCCATATTAGCTCCTGGCAGAGAAGGCTCCTCCTCTTTCCACCGCATTGTGGGTAATGGGGTTATGTGATACGGCGCTAACGCTCTGGGCGCCATCTTTACTATTGGCAGTCGATTGACTGGCTTCCAGGGTTACCGCGAGCGTTGATTTGGGGAAGAGGGATTGACACCTGGACCCAATAGCGTTCCGATTCCGAGAATAATGTGAAATTATATATTTAATTATTTCCTTGAATATCATATATTCTCTTTAATTCCTCACGAGAGTGATAGTGTTGTTGTTGTGCCATGGAGTCCGTACCAACCCACAGCACAGCAGAACAAAACGCTGCCCGATCCTGGGCAAACCTCAGTACTGTTGCCACACTTGAGTCCACAGATGCTGCCACTTGGCCAATCCATCTCGTTGGGGGGTTTTCCTCTTTTTCTCTGACCCTCCACCTTACCAAACATGATATCCTTCTCCTGACAATATGTCCAAAGTATGAGAGACGAAGGCTGCACGTCTTCCAAAACGGATCTATTGGTTCTTTTGGCAGTCCGTGACACTTTCAATATTCTTCTCCAACACCATAACTCAAAAGCATCAATTCTTCTCCGGTCTTCTTTATTCACTGTCCAGCTTTCGCATGGGTATGAAGGTATTAAAAATAGCATGGCTTGGGTCAGGCGCACCTTAGTCCTCAAGCTGACATCTTTGCTCTTCAACACTTTAAAAAGTCTTGTACAGCAGATTTGCCTAATGCAATACGTCTTTTGATTTCTTGACTGCTGTTTCCCTGAGTGTTGATAATTGATCCAAGAAGAATGAAGTCCTTGACAACGTCAGTCTTTTCTCCCCTGATAAGAATATTGTTCATTGGTCCAGTGGTGAGGATTTTTGTTTTCTTTACATTCAGATGTAATCCATACTGAAGGCTGTGCTCTTTGATCATCAGTAAATGTTTTAAGTCCTCTTCACTTTCAGCAAGCAAGTAGTAGTGGGTTAAGAGTTGCGCTGCTAACCGCAAGGACAGCAAGCCCCAATGTAGAAAGATGAGGCTTTCTGCTCTTGTAAAGATTTACACCTTCGGGAACCCTATACAGGGTCTCTGTGAGTCTGGGCCGACTCTACAGCACACAGCAGCAGGATTCATTGTGCAGATTGGAGCCTCTCTCTTTTTTTTTTTTAACATCCCTCTGCTTCTGTCTTCTCATCTGTAAAATGTGGGCGGGCAGGCATTTACACCTTCATTGTAGATTTGCTATGAAGAATCAGAGACATAATATACATAGTATGTATCCAGTAAATAATAATCACTATTGAGTTGAAATCTCCTCGATGGCACACGACAACATATGGTAATGTATGGTGGCGGTTCAGTGATAAATTCTTGCTTTCCATGAAAGAGACCCAGTTTGATTCCCAGCCAGTGCAACTTGTACATTGCCACCACAATCATCTGTTAGGCTTGCAGGTTTCAGCACAACTTCCATACTAAGACAGACTAGGAAGAAAGACTTGGCAAGCTACTTCTGAAAAGCAATCAATTAAAACTCTATGGATCACAATGGTCCCATCAGTTGGAAGAACCAATCATGAGTACGGTGCAGGAATGTTCAGCTTTTAGCTTGGTTGTATATTGGGTCACCATGAGTCAGAAGGCTTGATGATGTGACAGCAGCTAACGACAACAGTATCCCTTCTGATTTAAGGTGGATGCCTAATGCAATATTTATTAAATGAAAAGAACCATATTTAGTGGAGGGAGACATCTTCATGGACTTTACCATAATGCAAGTGATAAGCACTGGACAAGGTCCACGGTTCCAGCCTACCAGCTACTCTCTGAGAGAAAGATGAGGTTATCTGCTCCCACAAAAAGTTGAAGCCTTGGAAACCTTGGTCACTATGAGTTGAAACTGACTCAACGACACTCAACAACAACATCAACAGTATGACTTAGGCAGATTACTCAATCTATTTAAGTCTTATCTGTAGAAAAGGGCTCAAAGAATCGTGGTACTAAGACTGGAAGGGATCTCACAGTCCATCTGGCCCAAATATTATTGTAAAGTGGATATAGTACCAGTGCTATCTGCCAATGCTTCAAGTAGTTAAAATAATAACAATGATTCATCATCATCATCATCATCATCAGTGAGTTGTTAGGTTCCATCAAGTCAGTTTCAACTCATAGCAACCCTACGCACAACAGAACGAAATATAATTGTTATGTTTGAGTTCATTGTTGTAGCCACTGCGTCAATCCATCTCATAGGGTAGGGGGAAGGTTCCTCTTTTTCACTGACACTCCATTTTACTAAGTATGATATCCTTTCCCAGGGACTGGTCCCTCCTAATGACATGTTTAAAGTATGTGAGATGAAGTCTTGCCATTCTCTCTTTTAAGGACCATTCTGGCTGTACTTCTTCCAAGACAGATTTGTTTGTTCTTCTGGTAATCCATAGTACTGTCAAATTCTTCTTCAACACCATAATTCAAATGCATCAAGTCCTCTCTGGTCTCTTTTATTGATTGTCCAGCTTTCACATGCAAAAAAGGCAATTAAAATGCTGTGGGTTGGGTCACACACACCATAGTCCTGAAAGCCTGAAAGTAACATCTTTGCTCTTGAACACTTTAAAGAAGTCTTTTGCAGCAGCATTGCCCAATGTAAAACATCATTTGATTTCTTGATGGCTTCTTCCATGAACATTGATTGTGGGTCCAAGTAAAATGAAATCTTTGACAACTTCAATCTTTCCTTCATTTATCATGATGTTGTTTATTCGTCCAGTTGTGAGGACTTTTGTTTTCTTTACATTGAGTTGTAATCCAGTCTAAAAGCTATATTCTTTGGTATTTTTCACTTTTTAGTAAGTGCCTTAAATTCTCTTTGCTTTCAGCAAGCAAGGTTGTATCATTTGTGCATCGCTGGTTGTTAATGAGCCTTGCTCCAATTCTGATTCCACTTTCTTCTTCATCTATATAATCCAGCTTCTCAATGATTTTTTGATACAGATTGAATCAAAATGTTCAGCATACAGATTGAATAAGTATGGTGAAAGGATACAATCCTGATGGACACCTTTCCTGATTTCAAATCATTCAGTATTTCCTTGTTCTTTTTGAATGACTGCCTCTTGGTCTAGGTACAAGTTCTACATAAGCACAATTAAGTATTCTGGAATTCCCATTATTTCCAATGCCATCCATAGTTTGTTATGTTCCATAAAATTGAATGCCTTTACACAGTCAATAAAACACAGGTAAACATCTTTTTGGTATCTTCTGTTTTCAGCCAAGCTCTGTCTTATGTCAACAATGATATCCTTTATTCTATTTCCTCTTCTTACTCCATCTTAGATTTCTAGCAACTTCCTGTCAATGTATTGCTGCCATCATTTAAAAATTATCTTCAGCAAAATTTTACCTATGTGAAATTAATGGTATTGTTCAGTTCTTTCTACATTCTGCTGGTCACCATTCTTTGGAATTGGCACAAATATGGATCTCCTCCAGTAGGTTGGCCAGGTGGCTGTGTCTTCCAAGTTTCTTGGCATAGACTAGTGAATACTTCCAGTGCTGCATCAGTTTGTTGCAACATTTCAGTTGTTACTGCATCAATTCCTGGAGTCTTGTTTTCCACTAATGCCTTTAAAGCACTTGCTTTGTATAATATGCTATTTCCTGAAATGGCTGAATGTCGACCAATTTTTTTTTTTTTTTTTTTTAAGAGTACAGTGACTCTGTGCATTTCTTCCATCTTATTTTGGTGCTTCCTGCATCATTCATTTTTTCCCCATAGAGTAATTCAATGTGGCAACCTGAGGCTTGAATATTTTCTTCAGGTGTTTCAGCTTGAGAAATGCTGAACATGTTTTTCCTTGACTTTCTAACTCTAGGTCTTTACACATTTCATTATATAATACCTTACTTTGTCTTCTTGAGCTATTCTTTTGGATTTTTTTTACTTCATCATTTCTTCCATTCTCTTTAGTTACTCTACATTGAAAGGCAAGTTTTAGAGTCTCTTCTTACATCTGTTTTGGTCTTTTCTTTCTTTCTTGTCTTTTAAATGACTTTTTACTTTCTTCATCTATGATATTCTTGAAGTTACCCCCAAACTCCTCTTATCTTCAGTCATTAGTGTCCAATGTGTTAATTCTGTTCTTTTGTGTGTGTGCATGTGACTTGAGTGAGAGTTTACATGGCAAATCATTAGTTTTACATTCTACAAACCGTATTTTGTTTCATTGCAATGATTACAGTCTCCTCCATGTACTGTTATTTACCTATCCCCCCCCCCTTTTTTAAGTTTTTGTTGTGAATTGAGTGATAGTTTACATGGGAGAACATCAATTTTACACTCATCATTTCATTGCAGTGTAAATCTGTTCTTGAGATGGTCTCTATACTCAAGGTGGAATATACTCAAGGTTGTATTTTTGCTCTTGTGGACTTGTTTTAGTTTTCTTCAGCTCCAGCCTGAAATTGCATGTGAGCAACTGTTCCACAGTCAGCCCCTGGCCTTGTTTTAACTGATGATATTGAGGTTATCCATTATTTCTTCCCACAGATATAGTCAATTTGATTCCTTGTATCCCATCTGGTGAGATCCACATGTATTGTTGTTATTCAATGCCATCGAGTCACGTATGGTCACTGTTTATGTTGTAAAAAAGGTATTTGCAATGAAGAAGTTGTTAGCCTTGATTTCTCCATCATCATTTCTGTTATCAAGGCCATATTTTCTAACTACCAAGCCCTCCCCACCTCCCCCCCCCACTTTCCCATTCCAATAAACAATTTTTTTTTTCAACTCTTAATTGTAAATT